TATATATACCTACCTACATACATACATACATACATACATACATACATACATACACATATATATAGATATAGATATGCATACATGCATGCATGCATGCATGCATGCATGCATGCATGCATGCACGCACACACACACATAATTACACACACACACACAAACGCACACACACACACACCCCTTCAAGAAACAAGCTTGTGGACTTTCCGTTGAGACCACTGTTTGAGCCAACCTCGAGCGACAGAGCCGCCCGGTCTTCATCTGAGACCTTGAACTCTGAACACCCATGACGACCCCAAGCGGAAGAGGCTCTCCGCTTTCCGCTTTCCCAGGCCGGGCCGAATTGGGCGAGACACATTCCGAGACGCTGACGTCGATGGACAAGTTGGCTTCAGTGCTGCAGGCTCCCTCCTCTGGTCCTAGAGCAAATGCAGGGCTTGGAGAGGAGGGGTCATGGGCTGCTATTCCAGTCTCTGACCTCCGGCTTGATAGGCGCAGGGAGGTTTGGAGGAGGCAGAGAAGCTCTACCGCCAAGCCTTGACGACCCGCCCTTGCCTCAGTTGGAGACCCAGGGAAAATGCTTTTGTTTGCTGTCCCTGCAAAGATGAAGCTTTAAAGTGCGCACTCTGTAGGAGGGCTTTGAGGCAGAATCAGCTGCAGCCGCCCATTGTTGAAAGTACTGCGGGTTTTCTCAGGACGGGCCAAGCTTGGCGAGTCTCATGCAGACACGTTGGCGAACATCTTCGACCTGGCCACCTTGCTGGTGAAGAAGGAGGACTCAGTAGTAGAGTCGAGTAGAGGTGCTTTGAGCCCTGTCGGTGCTATGCAACTCATTTGGAGTAGAGGTACTTTAAGCCCTATAAGCGCTAGAAAACCTCTTTGAATCCCTACAGAGTACTGGACAAGTAAGAGGAATGGGAGGAGGCAGAAGAGCTCTTCCGCGAAGAGCTCGAGAAGTGTGGCCTGACATGCTTTTGTCTACCTTAAACAACCAAGACCTACCTTTTTGGTAGGGTCCCTGCAAATTCTGTATCCAAGGTTTACAATAGGAACCTACAAAAAGTAGCTTATGGTAGTGACAGTAAATAACTTCTCGTCTCTGCCTCTATCTTTGTCTCGATTTCCGTCTCTATCTCAATGTCGATCTATGCATCTTTATCTGTCTGGGTGTGGCCATCTGTCGATCCATCTCTCTTTCTCTCGATCTTTCTGTGTCTATATGCAATCTCTGTCTATACCTCTATCTCTTGGCATATGCCTCGCTGTATATACACGTACTATGTAGAAATCATCATCGCGCAGGTACACACCCATGTGCATATGTGGTGCGCTCCATCCGAATTGTTCGTGTTTCCTAAGCCCCCTAAACCCAAAGCCCGAAACCCAGCCAGCGAAGCAGGTGGGAAAGAGCCCGAAACCCTAAACCCGCATGCCTGGCCTGGATTGTCCGAGTGTGTTTTTGCTTGTCACCTTCGGCACTCAGCCCCTAAACCCTAAACCCCAAAACCCTTCGCAGGACGGAAAAAGGCCCTAAAAAAAAAGAGAGCCCCAAGCCCTAAAGCCCTAAACCCTAAAACCCTAAAGGCCTAAAGCCCTAAAACTCCAAACCCTAAAACCTAAGACCCTAAAAGGTCGGTCCGCCAACGGCAGCGAGCATGAGGAAACCCTGAGCTCCGAGGAGAAGTTCGCCGAGTTCTTGAAGGACTTGGTAAGGGTTTAGGGTTTGTGGCGAGTGTTCCAGAAGTTTAAGGTTGAGGATTTCAGGTTCGGGGTCTAGGAGGTTTACTGCAAAAGGGTTTGGAACTCATGGCACGCTTGGAAGACGGCAAATCGGCAGCATCCTTCAAAGATGCGAAGACCTGACCACTGTCAGCATATTGGTCCTAATCGCATGATCGAGGCATACACGTTTTGGGGTACAATCATTCAGATCCCTCAAATTCCTCAAACTCAACAAACTCAACACCCGAAGCCCCGAAATCCTAAATGTCACTAAACCCACGTAGGCCCTCAAGCCCAGGCAGACCTTAAAGGGGCATTCAGTTCGTGGCCCCCAGCTCGTCAAGAGGAGCGGGGGCGTTTGGCGGAGGCAGAGAAGATGCAGCGGAGAGTGTTGGAGTCGAGTGCTTGCCTCAGACAGCTTTGCTTGAGGGCTTTCGGGCTTGGGCTGCAAAGTTTTCGAGGGCCAGGCGTTTAGAGCTTGGTTTGTAGGCTTTGGGGCGCATGATGGCTTTCGACGTTGGAGTTTCTTCCGGGCGATTCTGGTTGCAGACTGAGCGGGTTCAGGGGTTGAGCCAGTCTGCAGACTAGGCAGTCTCCGTCTCAGAAACAGCCGCAGCGCCAAGCATCGACATTTTCGTTCACTCCATCTCCCGCTCGTGCTTGCGAGGACGGGCCAAGCTTGGCAACTCCCACCCGAACACGATGAGGAGCATGTACGAGCTGGGCGCCCTGTTGGCAGACAAAGAGGACTGGGAGGAGGCAGAGCAGCTCTTCCGCGAAGAGCTGGAGAAATGTAGCTTGGCTTTTTTTACATGCACTTCACGTTTTTTTTTTTGATTCCTTCTTTAAACCTTGGTGTCGGCGGGTTTGCTTCCATCGTTTCGTTTTGCCTGGGAAGCCTTCACCCAAAAGCATACAAAACTCTGCACCCCAAATCCTCGGCCCTGGATCCTAAAGCCTTGAAGCCCTAGTTTTGGTAGGCACCATAGTACAGACTTGCCCTTGAATCAGGTAATGTAGGGCTTAAATGATTAGAATAGGGTGTTGAGGTATAGTATACCATGATATAGTAAGGAACCCCCAAAACCCTACTCTAATTATTACTGCCCCTACATCACCTGTGCTAGACCTGGGACCTCGAAGCTGTGCCTTCCAGGTAAGAGCGTCTACGGCGCCGAACATGAGGAAACGATCGACTCCACCGAGAGGTTCGCTGAATTCCTGAAGGACATGTCCTCCTAAAGCCCGAAGTTTTTAGGCCCTACGCCCCAAAGCTGCAAGTGGGAGGCATCTTGCAGCGAATCTTGCGTTGAACATAGGGCTCCTTCTTGCGTGTGGTCTAATGAGCATCCCACGATGACAGGGTTGTTTATGAGGAATGGCTCTTTGTGCAGGCATGTATCATGAACCATGCCCCAAGCCCCAGTCCAGCCGCCAACCCCTAGCTAGACGCGCTTGGACAGCCTGGTTTAGGGATGGGATCCTACAACCGGAAGACAAGGGTGACCAAACAAGGTAGTACAACGCAATTGGAGTCAGCTTTCGAATACAATGGTATGGGGTCTTATGATCATGAGTTCGATTCTGAATATCGTTGTTGTACCGATGCTTCTGCTGAGTCTACTCCCGTACCGAAGTTCTAGCTCTTGTAACAATGCGTTGAAATGCGAGGGGAGTGACAATAAAAACTTGTGCCATGTTCAGTTTCCTTTCCAGCGAGTTGAGGAGGAGTCAAAACCTAGTGCCATCCTTTCTCTGCAGCGCGACCTAGTCAGCGAAGCGGGTGGGAACACAAAAAGGAGCCACCCTAAACTCTGAACTTGGACCTAAACCCCAAAAACTCCCAAACTATCATAGACCCTGACCCTTCCACCCTAAGCACCCTGAAAACCCTGAGACGGCCCTGAAGCCCAAGAGAAGCCTGTCTTGCGAAGGACCGGGGTCGGCAGGCCGAGGCGCAGGAGCTCTCGAAAAGCCTCGGATGAGTCGCTGGAGGCTGGGACCCAATACCCCTTAATTAAGGAATCTGCCTACCTTATTATAGGGGCCCGAATATTATGATTTAGGAGTTCCAGAGTTTTTTGCAGTGTCATAGGCAGAAAGGAGCAGACACACAAACACACACAAGCTTGCGATGATGATTTCTGTCATTGTTGTCAGCATTCCATCACTGTTGCTGGCTCTGTTGCCGGTATTGTGCTGGTGGTCCGTGGTGCTGGTGGTGGTTCTGGTGGTTCTGGTGGTGATGGTTTTCATGGCGGTTGTCTCTGGCTGGCTGGTTCGGGGCACTTTCGGGCATGTGGTGCAACGCTGGCGGCCGTGTGCTGTTCAGTGTTTGGGGGATTGGACGGGTTAGGATTGAGCCTTTAACCTTTAGGGTTCAGCCGGCTTACGGTCTACTTACTCTCTTCCTGTGAGTTTCGGGCTTCGGGAAGTAGGAAGCAGGATTGGAGCTTTCCAGGTGATTCCAGGGTCTCTTTCCAGGGGTTTGGGTTTGGGGATCAGGGTCTGGCAGCAGAGGCCCTCTTGCACAAGCCCTTTTCAAAAATCCTCATACAACCTTCTGTAAAAGTCCAGTTGAAACCGCTATTGGCCAAACAAGCCGTGATGAGCCCCTAAGGGTTCACCGGGTTACCACGGCCATGGAAGGAAAGGTTTAGGGAGCATCTAGGGCTTTTTGGGAAGATTGAAGAACCTGAGAAACACAGCTGCTCTCTCTCTCTCTCTCTCTCTCTCTCTCTCTCTCTCTTTTATATATATATATATAATTATAAATATAAATATAAATATATATATATATATAATATACCGATCGCTGAGCCCGACGGGGCCTTCATAAGTAGAACGGGGTTCTTCGGCATGCTACAGCAGGACTGTTTGGGGTGAACGAGAGCGTGCTACTACTAATTTTTACGACTTCCATTTTCGAGTGAAGGTTCGAGATGGAATTTTTGGGAAAGTCCATGCCCATTCAGTTTTGTTTTAAATATATCATGGGCTTCAAATTTGCATGGTACATTTCTAGCGTTGGTCTAATCTTCAGAAGGAGCGAGAATCATAGTTTGCGACGAGCTTCGCAGAATAGCTTTTCAACCAGGAGTTATCCGAGAGTCAACCCTCTCTCTCTCTCTCCATATATATATATATACATACATATATATATATATATATTTGAAAAAATATATATACATACATACATACACACCCATACATGGTCAGGCATTACATATAAAGTGTCAGGCGTCTGGCGTTCCCAACACCCCCACCCCCGCAATGCGCGCGAGTGCCAAAACAAAAAACATATATGCATATATGTATGTTATGCAAATGCGCCTGACTCGTCGAGCGCGAGTGCTAAAAATGTTATGCAAATGTATATGTACATGTATATGCCTATGTAATTGTATGACCCATACCCATACCTATATCTTACACCAACATCTCTATCTCTAACTCTATTTCTATCTCCATCTCTGTCTTTGTCTCTGTCTCTATCTCGATTTGTATCTCTATCTCGATCTCTGTATCTCTCTCTATCTATCTATTTATCTCTCTACCTGCCAATCTCTCTACCTATCTATCTATTTACCTATCTATCTGTCTATCTATGTATCTATTCTCAGTGATCTTCCCCCCAAACAGCCCCACCATGGCCACGCCGTAAATGACAACTCCTGCGGATGGAGCCGGGCCCCCCCAGTCCAGGTATCTCCGGCTTAAGCCTGAGGCTTTAGGGTTTCGGCAGCACAAGTCACTTCTTGCAGGCTTAGGGGCTTAGGGTGCAGGGGTTTAGTATAAAAGGTTATGGGCTCTGAGAGGGCGTACCAGAACCCAGGCAAACTCTTCCGGGGGACAGTTTGAGGGCTTTCCATGTCTGGGCTCATGACGCGGCGCTAAGCTCTAAACCCCACACCCCCGAAGCTCCAAGACTAAAGCCCTAAGCCCTAAGCTCTAACCCCCTGGCCCAACACCGACCCCGAACTGCAGCCACGAGCCTTCAAGACCGATTCGCCGTGAGCCTGTGAACTTCACCTTGACCGCTTTCAAAGGCCCGGGATTTGGTATGGGGGTTTATTGGGTTTAGGTTTAGGGTTTAGGGTTGTTCTCGATTCTCTCTGAAAGGTGATCTTGGGAGCTCAGCGTATTGAAAGGTATCGATATCAGAGCTTAGCGCCCCGTTGGCTTTAAGTATTATTAGGGTTGAGGGTTTCGGAAGTAGGATGAAGGATTGCGCCCAGCTTGGCTCTCTGTCTGAAGATGCAACCCAGTCGAGCTAAACGCTTCCACCACTGGAGTGCGGCGGATGATACCGGTTTGCTTTTGTCTCTTTGTCTCGACCTGTCCTTGACTTTGCGCATGTATCCGCACACATCTTGGTGTGTGTAAAGAAACAGAGACTCAACATGCTAGGTGCATTTCGATTCCAGGGCTTGTTCATGGCGACGGCGCCTGTACGCATCCATGCGCTTTTCCACGTTTCAGGCTTTCGGGGGGTGTGGGGTGGGTGGGTGGGGGTGAGGCAAGAGCTTCAATCCTTGACCCTACCTAAGTAAGGCAAGTCTGGCAATTCAGCACTACTTCCTCTAAAACTCTATCTCGCATAAAGTTTTGTTTTGCAAAAACCGCAGTTGGGCCCCGAGTTTACTTCAGCCGGTAGCGTTTCGCGCGCCTGCCTGGGCTGCAACTTTTCCTGAAATTGCGCTCTCGCTGTGGTCTCGCGCGAATCCATGTAGAACTCCTCATTCTGAAATGTGTAAAAGCACAAAAGGTGCGTACAGGCGCCGTTAATTTGTTTGTACCCCTTTTTTGGTAAGTACCCTGCATAGGACCTCATGAACAGTACCCGTTACAGGGAACCCTACCGGAACCCTGTGTCGCAGTGTTTCCGAAGCAAGATTGACTCCTGAAGCAAGTGGCGGAGCACGCCTCTGGGATCATACGCTGCTCTCCCTAAACCCTAAACCCTGATCCCAACACCAAACCCTAAATCCCTGAACTAAAGACAAGAAAGGAAAGCGGTGCTAGCTTGAAGCAAAACGATCGGTCTGGCTTCGGCCCCCTGTGCGCGACAGCTTGGGCTTGTGGGCTCACAGTTGTGGGTGTAGGGTTTAGAGGTTAAGGGGGCTTAGGGTTTAGGGCTTAGGCACTCCAGCTCAGAACAGGCCCAAAGACCCTCTCTTTGGACTGTGGACCTTGTTGGCCGGTGGTGCGCTGCCCAGCTTGCCGATCACCAAATCGAGCAGATACCTTGCTTGCTGTTTTGGGGCTAATCACGTGGGGCTTTACGGTTGCAACAGACAACAAACCTCAAAGACAAATCATAAGACTTGACAAGCGGGTGACAACTGACCTGGTTCTATATGTTTGAGTCCATCCAGAAAACCAACATGTAACATGTGTATGTATATATCTATATATGTGTGTGTATATATATATATATATGCATGCAGATATGTCTATATACAGTATCAGAGCAAGGGTGGAGGGCGACAGGGAAAACGAAACAAACAAACAGAGACAGAGCGAGTTGAACAGCCACCTGTTGACGAAAACCCTAAGCCCTAAACCTTAAACCCTAAAGTATTCTCCTGTTTGGGACGTTGGCTTGGGCTGGGGACGACTCTGCAAGCCTTCAAGCCTCACCCGAAGCCCAAAGGCCTAAACACCCAAAATGATTCGGCTTGAGGAATAAACAAATAAACCTCGAAATCTCCGCCTCTGAACGCTTCAACGCTTGACCCTATCTCATGACCTGCTATGGTTGCAGAAAGTGTTCAAACCTGCCATGCAATGCAGCCATGACCGTGTCACTAGAACAAGGGCCACTGATGCGGCACCTGGAATGTCACGAAACTCTGAAACAATGCAAACCTTTCCTGGGCCCTAAACCCTGAACCCTAAACACCATAAACTTAAACTATGCAACCCCATATCTCCTACACCCCAAGCCCTAAACCCTCCTAAACTCAAGCCACGCACCCTAGAAACTTTGGAGCAGGGCTCAAGAGCAACCGGGTAGTTCTCTAAATTAGGGTCTCTTTTATTATTTTAGATCCCAAATAGTACGGCACCTCATAACAGGGACCCTAAACCCACTCTATTTTACACAACTACCAAATGAATGCGGGTGGCTTGTTGTGCTGCAGGTTGAAGGGCTCGAAGTAGAAGTCAAGAAGGGCCCCTGATGCTTTTGAGAGGCGGGGGTTTTAGGGTGGGGTTTAGGGTGT